TGCCCTCTTAGTGCCCTCCTGCCCTCTCCACAGCACCACCATCAGTGACTGAGCCTTCAGTTCCCTCCCTCTACCACTCCATCTCTCTCTTTCTGGCTTTTTCAAGCACTCTGAGAGTCTGCCCCGTGTGAAGAGCCTATATAAATACAATTTGTTGTTGTCTTTAAGTCCTGCCTCAAACCTTACCTCTTTGAACATGACGTGGAGTCTTACAGCTCAGTGGTTAGAGCACTCGCTTTGCAAGTGAGAGACCTGAGTTCAATTCCAGTCAGGGCGAAACCTTGGGCAAGTTTCCTTACTCCACACAGAGCCTAATAATAATCCCTCCAAAAAAAACAAAACAATAATAAAAAAAGTTGGTCATTTTCAATCCACGACTGTTTGTGTGACATTGCTGTGCGCAATTGGCTGCCACGTTCGCCCACAAAGTATACAGTCAATTCACTTTACAGCCTTTCTGTGAAGCGCTTTGGGATGTCTAGAAGACGTGAAAAGCGCTATTTCAAATGCAAGGATTATTATTATTATTTTGCCCACTTCCTTCTCCCCTTCTCTCTCCCTTGCTCAGTGTCCAAACTAGACCTGTAAGTGCTATGAAACATGAAGCATAAATGTGTAAATGTAAGCAGTTGTTGTTCACTAAATAATATTCCTTACCTTTGATAGAGTGCCTATTCTATAAAGCAGTGATTTATGACATAAATCAAGAAATATTAAATCAAGAAAAACCAGGAAACACACTTCCGATCGAACATGAACTGTTCATTCTCATGAGGCAATGCAAAGGAGTTGTACCACCAAACACTCAATATGAGTACATTAGTTGGGGCTGTGATTACTGCAAAAGGTTAGACATTGTGTGTAAAATCTTCATTTAATTTTACTGACGTTTTTACTTTGGCTAAACAATGCAGAAGCTTCTGAAGGAAGAAAAGCACAAACTCATTGGCTGTCGTGCAGGAAAAGAAGATTCTCTTCTTAGGCAGGAGGCTGCAGCTCTGAAAATAACCCTGAGCCACCCTCTCTCACCCCATTCCCTTCCCCCCTCCGTCATTTACATGTTCGCTTCTAGCAGCTTGCATCCTTATGAGCACTGAAAAGTCTGCAGCACCATTTGTTAATCACCAAATAATAAATCTTGCATCTGATACAGCGCCTGTTCTCCAAAATAACAACCAGATTGGGTGCAATGCCACTGGTTGATAATGACGAAATCGCGTTTCGACATTTAACTACCATGAAAGGCATATTTCCCAGTGCAAGTTGTTGTTGAAATCCCATTATAAAACTATCACTGTGAGCTGACTGGCAATAAAATAGTCGTTAGGTTCAGGATTAACATTAAGTTGCTCATCAATGGGCATAGAGTTCATAATAATGACAATCCTTGCATTTGCTAAAGCACCTTATGTCGTTAAGTGTTTCACAGAATATACTGTAAGGTGAATTGACTGTACATTTTGTTGGTGAAACAGCAGCCAGTTGCGCACAGCAAATTATGAGGCCCCTTCGTCCTCTTGATTGTCACACTGATCTCGACAGCTTATTTGTGGCCTCTTTTCTTATTTTTTACTGAAAACCCTTCTCCTGAAGACGATTTAGGGTTCAAGACCAGGACACAGTGAAGCTGAAATGTTTCATTTCCTTCTGTCAAATGCTTGGTCTTTTCAACATGTTCTGTGCTAATGTTACATATCTGGTATCTGTTGTGTAAAAAAAGAGCAGCGTGCTGAAAATCTGTACGATGGGGTCAGGAGACCTGCTGCTTTTAAAAGAACAGAGGAATTTCTTTTAACTTACACTCCCCCTTATGTTGCGTGTACCACAACAAATGGTGACTTACAGTGGACATCTACAGAGGAGATGGATGATTTTATTGTCCGTTGATTTTACAACATCAGGCTTGAGCCGGGTCCAAAAACAGCAAGGACAGAGTTCATTAAACTGATGGCTGCTGCGCAGTTAAACAGACTTCCTCTTGTAGCAACAGATCAAAGGCAGATTGACTTTGAATGCTTCCCATAAAACTGCAATCAGAAATTGGTGAGGTCGAGGCTGAATGATATAATCTTAGGATACTCACTTTATCTTGTAGGCTTCCTCATGGGGGAACGATGAGGCTGCCCTCACACCCTAATCTTTTTCACTCGGAAGTGAAGGCTGAGAATTTGTTGGCTATTTATCCAGTGGTGATGTTGAGTTTGGTTTTGTTCCTGGCATTTCAGAACCCAGTGTTCAGATTGTTTACAGCTGCTTGTTAAAGGGCATTTAGGAGTAACTTAGGGGTCAGCCAAGCTCAGTGGGTAGTCTTCTTGCCTCTGAGTCAGAAGATTGTGAGTTCAAGCGCTACATTGGTATTTTGAACTCATATAATGTAGGCTGACACTCCATTGCAGTGCTGGGGAGCACTGCATTCTTAGAGGTGCCTTTGGCTAAATGTCAAACTGAGATCCCACCTGCCTGTTCAGATGTATGTTGAAAGACCCCATGGTGCTGTTTGAAAAGAGGAGGGAGATTCTCCTGATATCATGATCAATGGTCCCTCAGATAAAAGTCATTTCATGGCTGTTTGATGGAAATTGCTGAGTATAAATTGTTTGCCTCAAGGAAAGTTAGGAGGAACATCTCAATGCAGAGCATGGTAAGAATGTGGAACACTGTCAAAAGCTATGGCTGAAGCAAAAGCATTAACGCATTTAAGAGGAAATTTGATGCATTTTTGTGAGAAAGAAAGGAAAAAGGATGTAGGAGAGGGGAACGGGAGTTAATACTCATGTGGGGTATATACAACTAGCATAGACCAGTTGGGCCAAATGGGTGTATTGTTGCCCTTCCATTCTATATAATTCTATAAAACACCTCAAACACTTATCAAAAAGAGTTACTTCGTATTGTAGTGAATGATGTTATGTAGGCAGCCAAATTACACCAGCAGTGTTCCACAAACAATGAGCTAATTGTTATGAGCCTTCTGAGGGTCGAGCTTGGATTAAGACAGTCGTGACCAACCTTTATGGTCGGCCAACAATATACATTTTCTTGATTGAAGATTTCTTGATTTATGCCGTAAATATTTAATCAAGAAAGAAATGAATACACACTACCAATCGAACAGGAACTTACCTAGACTTGTGTGAATGTTTGTGGGGGGGAGAGGTTGCATCTTGTTGGCCCTGTGGGCCACTTCCGGCCCAGTGCCCACAGGTTGGTCACCACCAGATTAAGGGAAGAGGATTGCAGTGTTCCTTATTTAATGCTGGATTAAACTATTGCCCACCAGATGGCAGCACACCCCTCCAGGTAAATGGTTGCTTCCTTCTCAATTCCTCGTGTCTGCCTTTTTTTAAATATAAGGTGGGAAATTTTTTAAAATATTTTTTAGACCCAACATTGGTCTCTTATTTTTTTGAAAAAATCTTACTTTCCCGGTCTTGATGCTGGACTGATGCTGAAAAATATATACCTTACCCAAAAAAATGAAAGGTCTAAAATTTACAAAATAAAATGTGCCCACTTAGGACTAAACAAAATGGCTGCCTCTAGAAGCCAAAAAGAAAGGAGTTACTTGCTCAGAGAGATGTGTTGCCACCTGGTGTGTAATCATTTTTGCTGGTGTTAAATAGGAAAACTGAAAATTTTCCCTTTATAGTGTGACAACTTGTCTCTGTTGGTATCAGTCTCGCCTCTACATCAGAAGGTTCTGGGTTCAAGCCTCACATTGGGGCTTTGAACTCATAAGTATAGCTTGAATTTATATAGTGCCCCCATGCAGGGTAGCACTTGACAGTGGTGGAGCACAACTCTTAAGTCGGAGGGAGAAAGAAGATGACTATAAGCATGTCGAAGAGGAACTCATAGTCTAGGCTGGACTCTATTGCAATGCTGGAGAAGTACAGCATTGTTGGAGATGCTATTCTTAGGATGAGACTTCACTATCATCCATACTCAAAAAGTGAGGGGAGTTTCTGGCCAAATGAAATTGGTCACTCACTTCACAGCTGTTTATAGACATCGTAGTGCAGAAATTGCCTGCCGTGTTCACCTACAAAATACATAATCACTACATTTTACAGTAAATCCTGTGACGTGCTTTGGGTCTTTCTCCCAATGTGAAAGGCGCTATTTCTATTGCACGCAAATGGTTGTTCAAAGTATCTGCAATCCTTCTATAAAAATAATCCTTGCATTTGACACAGCGCTTTACCACACCTTTGAGATGTCTCAAAGCGTTTCACAGAATATACTGTAAAGTAAATCGACTATATATTTTGTGGGCGAATTCTGTATATTACATTCGGGTATTTTGCCCACAAAATACACAGTCAATAAATACACTTTACAGTATATCCAGTGAAGGTTTTTGAGTCATCTCAATGATGTGCTAAGACACTAAATCAAATCAAAGATTATTTTTACCCTGTAATAGGTTAGCATAAATAGCCTGTTGCCACTTGTTGGGGAGTTTGTAACCAGGGGCCACAAGTATAAGGTAGTGATTAAGAGATCTAAAAGAGAAGTTAGGAGGTACTAGTTCATGTACAAAGCAAATGAGAGGGTGGCATTCGCATTCTTAGTGGTGGTTGAATCAAATAATATAGATGCATTTGAGAGGGAAACGGAGGAAGTAGGATTGGCTCCAGGATTATTAGCATTTCAAGCGCTCCGAGACGTTACCCTGTGTGAGGAGCGTTATATAAATGCAAGTTGTTGTTTGTTATTATTTGCCAAATTCTGAACACTCTGAAATGCTAACAACGTCAAATAAATCTAGACTAGGATAACATTTCTAGAAACCTTGTTCGTGTTCAATTTGTGAAACTTGCTTTGTATTTAAAACATTCTCCCGACATGAAAGGTGTCATGTAATTTAAATTGTATTGCATTGTGTTCAAAAGGTTACAAATATATAGTTTGTGTAATAATGTGAACAGTTTTATTGCTCATTATTATTATTATGATTTGTTCTGCTATTGCTGATAGTCTGATTATCTGTTTTGCAGGTGAACATGTTTGTGGAAGGCTTCCACGATGCCGTTCTGCTTTATACAAAGGCGCTTCAGGAAGTTCTCAATCAGGGCTACAGCAAAACTGATGGAGAAAGAATTGTCCATCAGATGTGGAACACAACCTTTGAAGGTAACGAAGTATACAGACATCATAACTAATTCCAGTCAAATCATGGTACTCTATGCTTCCTTCATATGTAGCACATTCTAAATATTCAGAGTTATTCTCCACCGGTTGATACATTTACTGATCTTGTTAAATTATTATTAATCCTTACATTTAATATATAGGGCATTTTACATTGGGAAGATGTCTCAAAATGCTTCACAAGATTTACTCTAAAGTTCAGTGAATGCGTATTTTGTAGGTGAACGCAGAAGCCAATTTATACACAGCAATGTCTCACAAACAACCATGAATTAGATGACCAATTTTATCTGGGGATTGTCGGGCAAGAGACAGGGAGAAACAACTTTCTCTTTTCATATAGTGCGCTGGGTCTCTAACGTTCATGTGAACAGGCAGGGAAGACCTTGGTTTAACAAAGTGCAAACCATTGAGAACCTTACAGACCACAGGGAATACCCTGATTTGGGTCTAATTCACACTGTTCACGAATCGGCATTTGATGTACTACCTGCAGCTTCTGGTTTGTACATATTGATTTCTGAGATTTGCAAAATAGCCAAGTCTCAATCCTGAACGTTGACAAAGTCTGACGATATTAGGATTTTTCTTTCCCTTACCTAAATAATTTGGTTAATTTTTGTCATATTTTTCAAATCACACTCGAAAATCTTCCTCTTTGACCGTTCTTATGATCATAGGTTCCCACCCTCCACAGTCACTACAATCAAATTCTGTGAAGTGCTCTTAGACATTTTGAAATGATAAGGTGCTATATCAAATGCAAGAATTATTTATTATTTTTATTATTATTCAGCTGTCGAGTATATGACTCAGCTCATAAATAGAATAGTCTTTGGATAAGACATTGTCTGGGTTTCAAAAGTTGCTAAATCTTAGAAGATGGAGAGCTGAAATCTGACTTTACTACTAATAATAATAATCCTTGCACTTCATATAGCATCTTATCATGTCTTCTAGACGCCTTATCACGTCTTCTAAACTTAACATTGTTAGTTAACTGGATTTTGAGACTGACTTGTTTAATTTATTTCTCTCCTCAGTATTTTCTACACTAAGTTTAAACAGATTTAAGAATGCAACAAATTTGGTTAGTTTTTGCCACATTCTTCAAGATTCCTCAGTTTACACAGAGCCATGTTCATTGTGACTGAGTATCTGATATCTCACTTGTTCATGGAGCATGAAAAAACAAGAACTCACAATGTTACAGATGCTGAGGAATAGAGCTGCAAAGAGCAATGGGTCAATTTATTCCATGATTTTATTTGGTCAATTAGGTGTTTGACAGTTGCCAAAACCCATCATGATCATTAAGTGTATCCATCCTAGTCTGAGAGTTCCACATAAGCATGCCACCTACTTGTGGTATTATGTTTAAACTATCATGTTCACATTGGCTAGCACTGAAATTGATTGGCACTGCAAGGCAATGGAATCAGCGAAAACTGTAGCAAGAATTTAGAAAGAGAATATGTTTGACCTGATAAATACATAATCATTGGTGTAATGCGAAGACTTAAAGAACGCCACCAAAGTTGAAAATAGTCAAAGCAAAAATAAGATAAAAGGATAAGATAAATGAAGGTAAGATTAATTAAGAAACAGTGATTAAATTGGCTTATTAAGTTGGATATAAATAATTGGATCATTAGAGAAATATTGATCATATATTTCTCATCTCAGTTTCCCCTTTTCTCCCATTATCATTGTAAACAGCAATACTTACTATAATAGACCAGAAGTATTCCAAAAAATTGAATCATAAACTGTGAGCAGATTAACACATCTGTTTCAGTCTGGCTGCCATAGAACAAACACAATTAGATATTGCAAGTGGTCAAATATCAAGACAGAATGTGCAAACTATGTCTGACTAAGGGTTTTGCTCTTCATGCAGATGAGGTAAGATGTCATTTGGTGGAGCTAATATGGCATTATATAACACGGTTGTGGAATTTTGGGATTTAGGTATTTCCGCTCATAAGTAATATCATCCAAGTGATATTTTGGCCGGCTGTTAGTAAGCAAATTATTGTGCAATCCTTTCCAATTTTTGGTGAACTCTTCAGCAAATCAACATTGGGAGGAACGCAGTTCATGCCCCGTTTGAGAAACACATTACATTATGCTGGAGGGAGTATGGTGGAATTTTCTCTGTCTGTCCAAACACATTTCAGAGAAATCTGTGTTTGCATTGGCTTAGATTCAGAATCCTTATGCCTAAAAAAATCAATAGCAAAATAGTTTCAGTGGCTTCAATGTTAATTACAGCACTGTTAAAAATGTCATGCATTCTAATAACCAGAGTTATTTAGTATTCCATGGACTAAAGTACCAAAAATGTGATATCAGGAATGAGCACAGACATTAGAAAAAAGGACCATTTCTTTGGGAAAGCCAACAAAAATGTTGGGAGATGCATGGGATTTCCTGTGACACAATTCTTTATGAATCTATTGAATCATCTCTTGTTTTCTTTGGAAGCAATGGATCTTTTAGCTAATTGACTTCATCAATTCCATGCATTCCGTTTATCAGGCATAGCGGGCCAGGTGTCCATCGATGCCAACGGAGACAGATACGGGGATTACTCTGTGATAGGAATGACAGATCCTGAAGCAGGCACACATGAGGTAAATGAAACTACTCCTTCTCTATTGCAGTACATTTGACACGTGAGGACTAGCTGGCAATAATAGATAACTGCCTTTGTACATACCAAAATAGGAAAACTGTGAATGTTGGAAATACGCAATGAGTTAATCTCTGCACTGAAAGAGAAAGAAAGATGACAATATTTTGGATATTACTCTTCATAAGGATTTCTACCAACAGAGGGTTTGGAATTCATTACCAAAAGTAATCATTGAGACTGGATCAATAGAGTAGTTCTAAAGGGAAATTACTGTATCTGAACAGTAGAAAAAACCTTAAGAGATATGGGGAAAGAGATAGAAAATGGGATTTATGAAAAATGTGGGAAATTTAGAAAAAAAGAGGTCATAGTGGAACAGACAATGGGCCTCTTCTGTTGCAGAAAATGTTTGTATTGTTTCTATACTTGCGCGTTTCCAGCATTTCCTGGTTTATTTTAACCATTTGGTATTCTTGACGTGCCTAAGAAGTATAATTTTTCTTCGTCTTGTTTCAATTTTGGATCCGATTAATATCTGATCAATAATTCTAAAGAAACCATTGGTGAAAGTTAGTACAACAACAACAAATTAATTTATATAGAGCCTTTCACATCGGAAGGATTTCCTACCGTGGTAGAAAATGAGAGTTTGGGATCAGAGAGGGGTGGAGGAGGGCAGATGATTGCAGGAAGGTCTTGAGATGGGCCTTGAAGGAGGCAATGGAGGGGGCAAGGCGGATGGAGTTCCAGAGGGTCAGGGACTGAAAGGCTGATTGCACGACTGCCGATAGTAGAGCAGGCAGGGCGGGGGACATGGAGCTAATCAATGCCTGCACAATGGAAGGGGTGGCCGGGTTGTTAAGTCACAGATGTAAGGTGGAGCAAGACCTGCGGAACACTACATTTAATGATGTGAGGGCTAGAAGGAGAAGCCATTGGTGGAAACAATGTGAAAGGTAAGAACGGAACCAGGCAAGGACAGAGCCATGAAGGTGAAGCTGAGAGGAGAGCCGGTGGAGAAGAATAGAGTGGTCCACAGTATCAAAGGCAGAGGAGAGATCAAGAAAGTTGAGATGATTGAGAAATGTTAGCATTGGAAAATGTTTGGGTTCCAACATCGAAGTTCAGAGATCTCATCAGGAAGTTTGGGTGAACAATACTAATGACGTGTGTTAAACCCAAGACAAATGATTTATTGTCCCTTTGCAAACGCAATATGCAGTCATCAGATATGCAGATTCTATCCGGTCATATAAGTTTCTATCATATCACTGAAGATAAATTTCGGAATAACAGGTAGCAGTTATTCAAAGATGAAGAACACAGAGGAAAATGCAAGATGCTAATTTAACTGGGGAGTTGAGGTTCATAAATACTTTATAATGTTATCAGGCCTGAGGGATTTATTTTCGTGAGTGGAACTCCCTTGGGTTGTCTGGATTTCTAATGGGATTCTTTATTAATCCAGTTGGATAGGCCAAGTTTTAGACTCCCGTATTATCACAATAATAGAACTCTGGGATATGGCAACAGTCATGATGTACTTCTAGTTACTGGAAAGAATCCCTATTTGTGTGATCAGAGTCCTCATTAAGCAATCCAGTTAGAAATTCCTTATTATAACAAATCTTTTAGATTTTTTTCAGGACATATCAAATAGATTAGATAGGGGGGAATCAGTGGATGTAGTGTATTTAGATTTCCAAAAGGCATTCGGTAAGGTGCCGCATAAAAGGCTGATACACAAGATTAGGACCCATGGAATTAAGGGGAATATATTAGCATGGATTGAAGAATGGCTAACTGGAAGAAAACAAAGAGTAGGGATAAAGGGGTCCTTCTCAGATTGGCGGGATGTGACTAGTGGAGTGCCACAAGGATCAGTGCTTGGGCCTCAACTATTTACAATCTACATCAACGATCTAGATGAGGACATCGAACTTAATGTATCCAAATTCGCGGATGACACTAAACTAGGAGGAAGAGTAAACACCGAGGATGACATTAAAAAAATGCAACAAGATATAGATAGGCTAGGTGAGTGGGCAAATAGGTGGCAGATGAAGTATAATGTAGGGAAGTGTGAGGTCATCCACCTAGGTGGCAAAAACAGTAGAGCAGATTATTTTTTAGAAGGGGAGAAACTAGATAGTGTTAGCGTTCAGAAGGACTCGGGTGTCCTTGTACACCCATCACAAAAAGTTAGTTTGTAGGTACAACAAGCAATTAGGAAGGCTAACGGTATGTTGGCATTTGTTACAAAAGGTTTAGAATATAAGAGTAGGGAAGTAGTATTGCCGCAACTGTATAGGGCCCTGGTGAGGCCGCACATAGAGTATTGTGTGCAGTTTTGGTCTCCTTATTTAAGAAAGGATGTACTCGCCTTGGAGGGGGTACAACGTAGGTTCACTAGGTTGGTACCAGGGATGAGGTGGATGAGTTATGAGGATAGGTTGAGCAATTTAGGCCTATATTCTCTAAAATATAGTAGAATGAGAGGTGGTTTTATGGAAACCTATAAGATTATTAAGGGGCATGACAGAATAGATAGTGGGAGGCCGTTTTCCCTGGTTGGAGAAACTATAACCGGGGTCACAGTCTTAAAACTAGGGGTGAGCCCTTTCGCACTGAGTTGAGGAAAAACTTCTACACTCAGAGGGTTGTGAATTTATGGAATTCTCTACCCCAAAGGGCTGTAGATGCTCAGTCCTTGAACATATATTCAAGACTGAGATTGATAGATTTCTTGTGGATAAAGGGATTATGGGATATGGGGATAAGGCGGGCAAGTGGAGTTAGAATAGATCAGCCATGATCCTATCGAATGGCGAGGCTGAATGGCCTACTCCTGCTCTTAATTCTTATGTTCTTATGTCTCATTAAAAGGACTCCACCCCCAACAATGTAGCACACTCCCAGCAGTGTATTGTCGTGTTAATTTAGACAATGCAAGTTCAAAGTCCTAAAGTGGATGGAAACCACAACCTTCTAACTCAGGCAAGAGTCCCTCCAACTGATTCAGGCTGTCAAATAAGGGACTGCTACACTTTACAGTAAATCCTGTGGAATGCTTTGACAAGTCTACAGACTTGAAAGGTGCTGTGTCAAATGTAATGATTATTATTATTGCTATTCAGCAGTCCCAGGGGTAATTTTCCTTGGGCTAGGGAGGAAAACAAGCTGATCACCACCTATTGAGGCTCGCTAGAAAACGCATTGGTAATGGATGCTATGAGGAAGGAGATTGCGCTCAGTTGTAACACACTCCTTCAACTACTTGGTTGAAGCACCAGAGAATGACTAGCCTCAAAAGAGTGATAGATATCTAAATAGATATAGATATCGCTGCTTTAAGAGAGCAAGACCGAAAAGGGGAGAACACTGTTATCACAGAAGAGAAACTGACAAATAAATGTTTTTTGTTGTCCTAAATATACTGTGTTTTTTAAAAAATATTTCACGGTAAAGTCTGCCAACAGTATTTTGCAATTTGGACGATCCTTGCACTGGAACAAACATTCTTGTAGTTGTTCGGGGCTCTGTAAATTTGTGGATTTTAAAGTGAATTCCAAATAACGAGTGGGTTAAAAAATGAGATGCCACAACAGATTTGTCTCATCAAATCTGTTATCAAACATTGCAATTTCAGGTGACAATTAATGTTCTCATTTGTTTAAAGCTTGTTGCTGCAATAGGAGGAGGGTAGGTGGGCATTTGGGAAGGATGAGATTGAATGGATCAAAAGGGTTAACCGGTTTGTTTATATATGCAGCTTTTACAAAGATTATTATTCAATCATAGTGGCTATGACAACCGATTCTGTGCTCACTCTAAAAGTAAATTAAATGATGTTGTATTTAATTAGGTTGGTACCTCATGAAGCAGCACTGAAATGTTGCTCTATGGGATCAGAAACAACACTGGCAATACTTTTGGACCCAACTATTGTGCTAAAGCTGGGTGGGGGAGAAGTTGATATTAAATATCCTATTTTTTTACCCTAATAAGTGGAGCAAGCAGAATGAGGGAAAATGGATTTCATTTGTAAATGCTGCATTTAGATTTAGGCAGTGGTGGAGGAAGGAGTTTGAATTATACAACACGTTTGAGTTTCCTGTGTCTTTGTGATTCTAGGTAATTGCTGACTACTATGGGATGAATGGAAGCTTTGAAGTGAGGCCAAGTGTGAGACGTCTGTGGGCCAGCGGAGTGCCACCTTCCGATGAATCTTGCTGTGGCTTTCCCAAGGACCACGCTTCCACGTGTAAATCATGTAATTTCACTTTAAGCCTCATACATTTTCTCCCATTCAGGAATGATTCAAGTCAATGTACCTTTCCTTCTCAAATCCGAGGTATTGTACACATGCTGAGTCACTGGTCATGCCCGGTCAAAGATAAACCGAGAACATTTTGTGGTGATTTGGTCCAATTTACAGATCAGCGAATTTACTCCCCTATTTTTTTGTTATTCTCTTCTGAAGGAGCCTGGTTCCTTTTCCCTTCCCCTGGGTCCACAAGCACAGCTTGAGCTCTGACATCTTACCTTCATGGCTATATTACTTATATATATTTTTTGGCCAGCCCTGTGTCGTGACACATGCTGAAACCCCTTATAATTCTTAAGAATATCCAAACTGGACTGAGAGTTCACGTATGTTTGTCATCTACACATCGACATTTCCCTGTGACTGAATGCACTCAGGGACGAACCCTGCTGTCGTAATTCCAGAGAGTATTTAGCACATGTTGGCAAAGAGCCAGGGCTTGGGGACCCTAGAGTGGGCTACTGCCTGAATTTACGCAGCTAAAACCACATAGCTTGCCTCTGAAAGCACTGTCCTGCAAGCTTCCAGCTGCTTGTCCAGCTAGGAACCCCTTACCTGTTAAGGCTTTGGTTTGCATGGTTAATAGATTATTTATATATGCGGCTTTTACAATGGGTATTATTCCAACCACAGTGGCTATTACAACCATGCCTGATCCTGCGCTCAGTCACTGGATGTCCACACTCGTGCACTCACCAGCAGGGGGTAGCAATCTGCAAGAACAGCAATTCTGACTCTTCCCATTTCTGTTCCTGGGAAGCTGAAGCCAATTCAAGTACTGCATCTGATGCCCTGGCTCAGATAACTAACTCAGCACACACTGGGATTTGAACCTGCAACCTCTGACTCATTATGGCCTAATAATTTACCAGGATTTATCTTTACCCACTAAACCATTGGGGGTGGACAGATAGATGTCCTATGATGGATGCACATCGAAAGATTGGCTGCACTTAATGAATGAAACTAAAATACCATTGAGTTCTGAGAACCTCCTCGCGCAAAGTTACACTGTCTATGTGTAAGTCTGCTTGAATAGTGCAACTAAGAATAAACCGTGATATTAATCATTGCTCAAAACTGTTCCTTATTTTAAATACTAACAAAAGCAATTGTAGGTGAAATCGATTGTCTGAATAGCACCATTGTTACATGTGAATACTCTGTTGCCGTGAACAGTAACCGTTTGTCTTGTTCTCTCCAGGTGGGATTGGAGAGTCTGCAGTCACAGGCATTGTTGTCGGCTCACTGTTGGGATGTGCATTGCTGCTGGCGTTTTACTTGTTCAGGTAGGATGATCCCAAAACAATGAGTCTTGTGGGTAAGGGAGATGGATCTGTGTGTGAGAGAAGTGAGAGAGAAAGTGAGAGAGAAAGAAACAAAACCAAAAAATTGTATTTCTATTGCAAACTTATCCCCGGAATTAATCTTTTACTTATGATAGATTTGAAGTGCTCTGAGATGGTGCCCCACATGAAGGACACTATATAAATCCAGGTTGTTGTTATTCTTGTGAGTTTTGGGACCTGAAATGTGGCTGTTTCAAACATTGCACATGTGAATCCATCAGGCACTTCAAATCTCTCTGTTGAGCTAACCTGATTTGATGCGTGCTGATAGAACAGTGCAATGCAAAAGCTCATTCGCATTGACTGGTGGTTACCTTTGATTACACCCTGTCAAAACGTGGCTTGGAATCTACTGGCTCCCAACTATTGCTTTAGAACTCGCTTGTCCTTTATAATAGAGCAGATCAGCTATGCAGAAACGTGTTTCTAAAATCTTAACATTTTGAGTTTTCAGTTTCCCAAAACGGGTTTGTATTGAGAACGCTATTCTCAGTCTGTCCCCCTGTCCACATCCTGCTCACATAGTAATATAGGAGACAAATTGTGGGTGGAGAGGAGGGTACAATGTTACTGTGTCTGAGGTCAGAGTGCAACAGCCTCAGGCAGAGTGCTATAATTGGAGAGCAATGTGCAACACATGGAATCACTCGAGAGGTGACTGTTTCCTGTTCCCATTCATCCACAGCACTTCATAGACTCCATTGTATCTGGTTACCCCTTTATTGTTGCAGGTGCTTATAATGTACAGTTTCTGTTGAAAGAAGTGTCCATGACTGAACAAGATTTTTTTTACTGTAGTTAGTCCAGAGACATAAAAGCTCTTTATTATCTAACTAAAACTTTCTTTCAAGTGCACAGTCACTAGACTTGGCAAGAAGGCAGGAGGTTATGGGTTCAAGTCACACTTTTGAAACTGCAATTGCTTTTGTTAATATTTAAAATAAGGGACAGTTTTGAGCAATGATTAACTTTATGGTTTATTCTTAGTTGAAATGCTGTACTATGTTCAGCGCCTTGAGACGTTCTCCCGACATGAAAGACGCTATACAAATGTAATCTTGTTGTTGTTGTTGATGCTCCAATGCAGTGGTAGGGGAATGTTGTATTGTCAGATATACTGTCCTTCAGATGAGACATTAAACCCAGCTCCAGTCTACCTGTTCAGGTGAACATTAATGATCCCATGGCACTATTTGAAAAGAGAGAGGAGTTTCGCCTGGCCAACAATCCCCTACATGCAATTGATCATTTGCTTCATGACTGTTTGTGGGGCATTGCAGTGTGCAAATTGGCTGCTATGTTTGCCTACAAAATAGAGTTACTACACTTTACACTAAATCATGTTAATGCTTCAAAGATGTGACCAGGTGCTGTATCAAATGCAAGAATTATTATTGTTTTTATCAAGAAGGTCCACTACTGTTTGTTATGAGCTCGTAACCTCAAGGCTATTTTATAATTTGTAGTGAATCCTGCAGTAGGTAGAGCACTCGTCTCACAAGTGAGAGGAATGGGATTTGATTACCGGGCAGGGGAAAACTTTAGGCAAGTTTCCTTATTTCACAAGCCTCTGTATAACCTAGCAGTAAGTAGGAACCCGGTTGTTAGCCGAGTTGTGGATCAATTTCTGAGGGAAATATTTCCTTCAAAAAATAAATAATAATAATAATTTGGTCACTCAATCCATGACTGTTTGTGAGATATTCACTTTACAGTATATTCTGTGATGCGCTTTGAGACGTATCAACGACATGATAAGCGCTAAGTCAAATGCAAGGGTTATTATTATTGTTATTACTTGGCAATCTGGCTCAAGTAAGAAATATAGGAATGAAAAGTCTTGTTGGGGCTTTGTGTGTTATATCCCATTGGGGTTCCATGAGAATGATGTTTTTTGTGATGGCTGAAGTTTTGCTCGGAGAGCGCAAATGGTAACATTCGAAGTGACAATTATCACGGCTGATCACACCTGTGCTATTACGCAGTTTTGCTTAACTTTAAAAGTTGAATTATGTTGGTGTCCCACGAACCAGTGTTGGCTATAGGATGGCTCAATGTCCAGTCATCGACTGAGTCATTAACAAGGCCTTAATTTATTATCACTAGTGGTAATTATTACATCTATAATTCCATTTGCCACAATTTACATAGGAACAGGAGGAGGCCGTTCAGCCCTTCGAGCTTGTTCTGCCATTTAATTAGATCATCTATACCTCAACTAATCCTTTCAATTCAATTTTCCGCTTTCTCCCCATATCCTTCAATACCCTGACCTACCAACATCTATCAACCTCACTCTTGAAGGTGTGGATGGATCCAGTATCCACGGCCTTTTGGGGGAGAGAATTCTAGATTTCTAATACCCTTTGAGGGGGCATAGTCTTAAAATTAAGTAAAAGTAACTTTACTTTCTTTTTAGTCAGGTTTTTTCTTTACATTATCTGTGTTCAATGACATTCCCCCACCCCCACTCCTGCCAAAGTTAATGCTAGTGGAAATATTCAGTTAAAATTCTAAAATACCACAGCTGGGAACTTTCCTGTGAAACTACATCTGCAAAAATTCAGCAAAATGGCGGGTTATGGAAAAAATGCAGAAAAACACATTTTGCTAATTGCCAGAACCATTGCCAACAGGACAGATGTGCAGACTTGGATTTGAAAGACATCACATCTAGTGTTATTGTTAAATGTAATGTTACCTCTGGAGACAGGGGACTAGACTACTTTGGGATGCTTGACAGAAAGTGCTAAAGTTAAGTTTTGAAAGTCATGCTAGTTTAACAGGAGCCATGCAGGGTAGCGGACAGACAGTTATAGAATAGCAGAATATTAGTCATATACCTTTGATTCACTCAACAGTGAAATCCTAACTTGAACTCATGGGGTGAAATTCTTCCTGCAACTTGATGTACTCTACTTACGTAACAGTGTTCGAAATTGGTCAAATTGTTGAATTGGGTCTTAAGTCTGAAGTCAAATTTGTTTAGATCTTGAAAGAACTTAGAGAACACCAACTTCAGTATTAAGGCCCTATTTAAGAATTTGCAAATTCTGGACGCTGCGAAAGGCTGCATAAAGAGTGCAAATCTGGCCCGAGGTGGGACGTCTTCCCACCAATCTTTAGGAGGGTGTTAAGTCAATGGATCTAAGGTTTTATGGGTGCTAAGTTAAAGAAACAGAGAAAAATCGATGTCCAAGACACCCTGTAGAATTACTTACATAATAAACTTTGCATTTGATATAGCACCTTATCATTCAAATTTTCAAGACTGAGGTGGATAGATTTTTGTTGAGTAAAGAATCAAGGGATATGGGACAAAGGCGGGAAATTCGAGTTTAGTTACAGATCAGACATGATCTAATAGAATGGCAGAACAGGCTAGAGGGGCAGAATGCCCATGTTCCTATGCCATTGAGTCATCTCAAAGGCTTCACAGGAAATACTGTATAGTGGTGTCTGACTGTGTTTTGTAGATTTGGCTTAGTCCTGGGACCAGGTGAATCTGCCACCTTGATCATTGACACATTAACCAGGCAATAGTATATAAATATTGAAGAGAACGTAAAGTGGGAGATGCTGGAATCAAGCAGCAATAACACAAATTACATAAGGAAGAATGTGTATTCTTGTTTCTGTGTCAGTCTTTATTTTGAAGGCAAATATATCCTTTATTTCCCTGAAGAGTTAATACGAGAGTTTTGTTGCCCGCATCAGGTCAAAAGAACACAATGTAAAACCTCTACTGTATATAAATTACAAATGTCTTGCAGACATACTTTGTTGATATTGGAAATATCCTTGTAAAGAAATGCAGCACATCGGAAATGATCTCTGTCAAATATTTGTGCAGAAATGTGCTCTGAAGTAATTTCAAATTCAGAATGATCTGAAAATGGCCAAGCTTGGACCGTTTTGAAATTCATCCCAATTTGACATGTTTGGATCGATTACAACTATGAATGTTATTTACTGGCTAGCCAATCTCTGCAGCACAGGTGTTATGGCTGGAGCAGCCTGGAACTGTGATCCAGAAAACTGTGAAGAAATCTGCATGAGATTTGGAGGGTTTTCCAGGATTTCACAGTTAGGAATGGAACTGAAGTAAACGTCTGATCTAACATTGCTGAAAAAATTCTGAGAGGCCAAATAAACTATAGAATGGTGGCAGGTAGGCAGCAAGAAGTACAGGTCTGAGAAACTATTTCATATCAGCATGGGACACACCGGGGTGGGTGAGGGGAGAAAATATCTAAATGGGAGAAAAATGCAGCATGTGATATTATCACCGGTGATTTAATCAACGGTGATGATTATTAACACATCGACCAAACATTCAGTCAATAACAACAACAACAACATTGCATTTGTATAGAGCATTTCACCTCAGAAGGACGTCCCAAGGCACTGGACAGGCAGGGATTTGGATCCGAGCTGGGGGTTGGAATCAGGAGCAGTGGAGGGCAGGGAGGGTAGGAAAAGGAGTGTGACTGAAAGTGCAATCGAAGAGACGTGCCTTGGAGGAGGCAAGGGAGGGAGCGAGAAGAATAGTTATCACTGGATTCTGGTATGGTGGTCCTCACTGGACAAATAGTAAGAAGCTTATCTTGTAATTGGACTGTACATGGTTTGTGCTGGCTCAATTCCAGAACGACCACAATATGCACTTTGGAAACCCTACAGTCTTGACTTCTGCCAATGCAAACCTGTGGTTTCTAGACATAAGTAAGCCAGGTGCTAATACCCCTTCTTCTCCCAACCACATGGGAGAGATTAAGTACTCTAGAACTGTCAGAAACAGAAACTCTGCTTCTCTTGAGCTCTCAATATCTGGAATATCGTGACAAGAACATGTCCTGCTAGAATAGGCAATGTTACTCCATCTGGAAAACTGCACACAGCAACAGACTTTATATAAACATACATTTTATAATTACAATTTGCAATAATACAGTACCTTTCACATGTGGAGGATATCTCAAAGCCGACTGGGAGCCTGAGCTGAGGGCAAAGCTGAGTGTGGGGCTGGGAGGAGGGATAGTTGAAAGCGCAGTCAAAATGATTGATCTTGAGGTGAATTATAAAGGCAGAGAGCTCAGGGCCAAGGTAGAGGGACTCTGGGATGGGGTTCCAGAGAACAAGGGCAGAATGGACAAGAAGATGAGAAGCAGGCTGAGCTGAAGGAGTGGCTGGGGCAGTAAGGCTGCAGGAGGTCACAGAGGCAGAATGAGACAAGTGCCATGAAGGCATTTGAAAGTAAGGACGAGAATCTTGAATTGGATCAAATGGATAAAGGAGAGCCAATGGAGCCTAGCAAGGATATAGGGGTGATGGGTTAGTGTAGGAGAGGACACGGGCTGCGTGGGGTGATACTATAAACCTCACACAAGTCGTATCAGTTGGGACCATACATTTAACATGAGTTATGCAGAGAATGAGTTTTGTGAAACTTGTATAAGTTATACTAAATTCAATGGGACTTGGGCAGATGTACGACTTAGGCGATTATATGATTTATACAGATCAGACTTTTACGAGTTCTACTGTATTTTGAAACGTAATTTTGATGTTCATGTTTCGTAGTGTTGCGTTAACAGATACTATTGTTGACATGATGCTGGCATGGCAAACATATCCTTTTTCAAGTTTTTTAATGTATTTTACAAAAGGGCGAGATGTAAACCCAAACTCTTTTAATGGCTTTATCTTTCTTGTTTAGGAAGAAATACAGAATAACTATTGAGAGGCGAGTACAGCTCCTCGAAGCTGACACTGGTAAGCACCATCACTTACGAGAAGACTCTGTCAGATCCAATCTATCTACAGCTTAAACAATGGAACCAAATCTTCCTTTTTTTTTGATAAACTTTCCATTGGAGGGAGATTTACCAAAGATGTCACTGCTAACAAACAAAACGGCTGATAAGGAATTTATTCTTTTTTTTTGAGGAACAGACTGTTAATTTGTCTTTTTCTGTTGCTTTCGGAAACTCAGGAAAGATTCACTTAATTGTACAGCACCACTGTACTGGAAGCGTCATCTCTGCAAAGATGATAAAACATGATTCAGTTTGTATCATAGAAGCCAGCAGTGACTTAACTGACAACTGAAGAGAATCTTCAAATAGGAGATCCTTTGTATAAGTCCTTTTACCCCCTATATTACCTGCAATATAATAACATTGTGACTGCCCAGTACATATATATATATTAAAAAAAAGTTTTAAGTTATATCAAATTGAATTTACCTACTTAGAGCCAAGACGTTAGACATTAGTTGGGTATTGGTTTCATAGTTCATATCAACCAATCTTTTAAAAGTTGCATTGCAGTAACTTTATTCTTAACTAAAGTCAAACCGTAATGTACTTTCTGCATGAGTTAGTTTTCCCTTCTGTGCATGGAAAGCTTCAAAAGAGAACCAAGCTACATTTTGTGACACTATTTATAGCCGCCAGGGCTTTGCTGGTGCTCACGTAGTGTTAAAACAGAACTTGTTTTTTTTGATACACTAAAAATCGTGCTCAGTAAATAATTGTGTTACTATAATCAAAATCTATTGCTGTGTTAGCATTTGTAAAATTGTAAACGATAGCTCCACACTTTTGTTTTATTGTCTTTACCTATAAATATCATAAAGACTGTAATTTTAGAAAACTGTAGTGCAGAGTATCAATTTAGTTCTCAAATAGCTCTATATGGATAAATATGGACTTCTATCTATAACAATAAACATCATATACCTTTGAATAATTTGGCAATAACATTTTAAAGCGGTAAATGCAGCTACTAAAATTAATATTTTTAGATTATAAAAAGAAAAATCTTAATAATGTCCTGGTATTTTTAACAAATATGTCAAAATAATTTTTTTTTGTAAATATTAATATTGTGGGTACACTTGTATTAGACAAAATATTAGACAAAATATGACAAAGTTGAACATTTGATGCATACATTTGGCTGTTTTGAAAAATAAAATTCAGAAAGTAATATTGTATTTTGGTATTATGCAAGTGGGTTTAATTAGATGCTGCTATTATTTTAGTAGATAGTTAAGAATATATAAACAATAAAGAAACAAGAAACAATCTCCAAAATGCTCTTGCTGTGAAAGACATTGTTCAATTGGTTGCAAGTGTTGACAAATTTACAAATATATCCCACGTGAAAAAGTTATTGAACGTTAATTGTGCCTCGGGTGTAATGTCTCAACTAGATTGAAGGCAGACAATTTGAAGGAATTATGTAAATGTGACATGCAGCAAATTGTATATAGATATTTGTTTCTACAAGTACTAGGCTTCTCTTTAAAATAAATACCCACTTTGGTGAGGAATGTATTCATGCCTTTGTTCATGTATTTTTATAAGGACATAGCATTGCATCAGCCCCAGCAAAATGCTATGTACAGTTGTAAATAATGTCCACCTGATGTGAGTGTTTTAAGGGGAAGGTCTGATGGCTGGTGTGCTGGGGTATCATCAGAATGTGGCTGTGTGTTCACCATAACTGCAGTGGGAGAATTGACTGGCTTTTAAGCAAGTAAATTCATCGATCAAAAAAACAAACCCAAAGTCCTTTATAAATATTTGAATAAAACATTGACAGTCGAAAGGTGAATTTAGTTTGGCACACCACTGTATCAGGTTCTTTTCAGTTCAGATCGTTCAGAAGAAAGAAGTTTATTAACTGATTTAAAGGGTTTACGACTATATTTTTGTCACTTCTAGCATGTACCACTAGAAACAACAAGGTGAAAACGTCATGTTGCATAACAGATTCCACCCGATAAACATCACATTGAATCTGTTGAAGCAACATTGCACTTTTTCATCCCAATGTTAGCCATTGAAATAGACATTTGTGCATTTGCTAGCACTGTCAGTGTTCAGGTTATGAGCTGCTGTTCTTAATGTGTAACTAAAAATGGAAAGAATGTGTGTATAAGGGTTTAGCGATCTGAGAATAATAGTAAAAAAAACTAAAGGTTTAAGCTTTGGCTGGTATGGATGTTTAATAAGTGCAAAGGGCACCATACAGTATAACAGTAATATAATGCCATAAGTAGAAATATCTGCATATAATGTGATATTATTTATTTAACACTTGTGTAGAATTTAATATTCATAACTTTAGATAGGGTTTCGTTTTGTTATTTCTGTGGTATATATTCATTGAAGACATAAATTGCTGCATTTGATGTCAATGGACTTTAATGATGTGTAAATGTCTTTCAAACTACTGTATTTTATTTTCTGTAAACCAGTATGTGGTGTAACCTGTATAGAGCATTAAAACAAGCTAGATATTGGCAATAAAATGATGTATAAGTGAACTGTTGCTCTGCATCGTCTATGCAATTCAGCAAATCGCATGATGCTGCATACAGTTCTGGTCTCCGCAACATGAGGGGGTTGTCCATGCACTAGAGGCAGCGTAGGGGAGAGCAACAAGGATGACCCCCAGTGTTGAAGTACCCCACGTGAAGGATGCTGTATGAATGCAACTTGTAGTTGTTAGAGGAGTCAGCTATGAAGAACAATTAGACAAGGTTTATAAAATGTTTGTAAAATGATAAGAACGGTTTCCTTAACAAAACAGTCACTAAATCTGACGGTGTTTACTTTAAGATGTTTCGACATGACCAGGTGCCTTGAGAAAGTTCTACTCATACAATATGATTTATATTCATATTACACCTTTCATGTCAGGAGGGTGGGGGTGAACCAGAGGGACTCCTGGATGGAGTTCTAGAGAACGGGGGCAGAATGTCATATTTGAGAAAAACAAGAGTTTGTTGGCTTTCGTTAATGTTGTAATATCAGCTTTAACACTGCTGATAATATTGATTATGTTAATGATTATAATAATAATAATCCTTGCATGTAGCACCTTATCACATCTTCAAGATGTCTCAAAGTGCTTCACGGAATATATTGTAAAGTGAATCGACTGTATATTTTGTGGGCAATATATACGGGAGTTTTAAAATAACGTCTGAACTCCAAAAGATAGACAAACTGCTTCTCTTCTGCAGCAATGGGTTTGTTTAGACATATCTCTCCCCTTAGTTTTAATGTGCAACACTTATCTTGTTAACCCAATGCACCAAATAATACACGGTTGAAGTCTGAATAAAATTAGATAGAAATATGAAGGCATGAAATTTTTATTCAGTAACAGTGGAACAAAGAGAACTCTCCTGGTCCATTTAATTTGCATGTTGAACTTTGCCTCTATTTAAAGTGTATTTCATGAATCTCATTGACCTGCAAGTAAGGTAGGGCAAATGGTTAATTCTGTAATAGTGTGAAATTTTGTTTTGGACATTAAATTAAGCAAGCCAGGTGCAAAACCCAGCAACTACACATCAACCATAACATAAAACTTTGCTTAAGAATTCCTCATGGAGGTACAAGTCACCGTGTTAATAGCTTTTGGATTGTAAACCGTTCTCTGCACACAGACTGACATACCAGAGCTCACAGCAACAATCTGACAGAAGAGTCCACAACAAAGAAACACCTTATTCAAAAAAGAAACCTTTCCACTATATAGTTTATACGCTAACTGAATGTTGACTGTTACACAGGAAATTTTAATCAATCTCTAGCCTGTCTTTAACCGTAGATGTCTGATATAAAGTTAGTTGCCACACGAACAATTATTCAAACTGTTTAATGGTTTCTTTCAAAACCAGACATTCAATTAATTCAATTGAAAACTACAAGGTCGGTGGAGTCCTGTAGCTCAGTGGTTAGAGCACTCGCTTTGCAAGCGAGAGACCTGAGTTCAATTCCAGGCAGGGCGAAACCTTGGGCAAGTTTCCTTGCTCCACACAGAGCCTAATAATAATCCCTCCAAAACCAAAAACAATAATAAATTGGTCATTTTCAATCTACGACTGTTTGTGGGACATTGCTGTGCGCAATTGGCTGCCGCGTTCGCCCACAAATATACAGTCAATTCACTTTACAGTATATTCTGTGAAGCGCTTTGGGACGTCCTCCCGACGTGAAAAGCGCTATAACAAATGCAAGGATTATTATTATTATTATTATTATTAGTTTATTTTTTTGCTGCGCAGTTTTAATTTCTTTTATCTATAACTTTACAGCTGATCGTAAGTCAATGAAATAAATTGAACAACTTTCTCACCAAGGGACTGAAATTCCTTCGCTCACTAAGCTTGGTAGAACTTAGATACACGTAGAGAGGGTTGGAGTAATAATGTAACAATAATGCTTGCATTTGACATACGTGATTTAATGATGAAATGTCTCAAAATGCTTCAGAGGGAAATCCTGCTGAGTATAGTGATTGTATATGTGAAGTCAATCACAGCAACCAAATTGTGCATTAACAGGAATGACCAATATATCTGGTGGAATTGTTGACCAGGACACTAAGAAACTGTGTGACGTACTTAAAGATGTTCTCATGATGTCAAATTTGCTATATCAAATGCAAGGATTATTATTAATATCTCATCCGAAGGACTGCACCTCCCAAAATGCATCACTCACAGTACTGTAGTGTACTAAGAATACCATAGTTATACTTGATATAGCACTTTTCACATCGGAAGGACATCTCAAAACAACTTACAGGATATACTGTAAGGTGTAATGACTGTGTGTTGTGGATGAACATGGAAGCTATTTTGCGCTGAGCAGTGTAAATGTACTGAAATAATGTATCAGCCCAGAGTGAGAGTTCAAATCCTGATTTGGCTCTTGAACACACAACCTTCTGACCTAGAGCAAGAAGGTGCTTTATAGTTGCTCTATCGTTACTTTAGCTGAAATTAGTTAACATAGCACACACTGGGGATCAAGCCTGCAACTTGCCCCTGTAAAAGCTCAGCTCATCGCTTAAGAAACTCAAATCAGAATACATTCCGCCTGGAAACTTTTTAAAGTTGAAAATCAAGGTGTAAAATGCTTGCTTTGCTCTGTTTATAGTAATCTCTTGCATTTGATATAGCACGATAAGGCATTATATCATATGCAATGATTATTATTACATAGAGAATGTGTGTGTGTGTTTGAGACTATGTGAGTCAGTGTGTGTGCTACAAAAATAATAATAATTTGGACACTCAATCCACGACTGTTTGTGGGACACTGCTGTGCGCAATTGGCTGCCACGTTTTGCCCACAAAATATATAGTCACTACACTTTGCGGTATACTCTGTGAAGCACTTTGAGACGTCTCAAAGACATGCTAAGGTGCTGTATCAAATGCAAGAATTATTATTATTGCAAGGCTAAGCCCTGAGCATCGTCTCTCACTCAAGGACGAGTCTCAAATCAACAACAACAACTTGGATTTATATAGGGCCCCTCACGCAGGATAACGTCCCAGAGCGCTTAACAATGGTGGAACATGATACCGAGCCGGTGGGAAGGAAATCATGCCAGCTTGGCTGGATTCATATTTTGCATGTCCAAAAAGCAAAAAGCACTTTGCAGCTAAACCAGATGTGTAATGTAACAACCCAGTTCCAGCCACCAGAGAAACCAGGGAATTCTGTTAGATTCTTGTAATACTGCATACCCTGATGAAATATTACAGAGGATAAGATTAATATTTTGAAAACAAAATAGATTCCATTAATGTGCATTGGCCTCCAAACCTGTAGCTGTGCCAATAACTCTGGCCTTGGCTTATAATTGAAAAAAGTTCACTTCATGCTTGAATGGCCATTACAAGACATATTTTATAAGGTCAAGCTAAGTTCTTTGCATTTTCCCTTTGAAGGATATTCAGCAAAGGCACGTTGAAGTGCAATAATAAAGTATAAGGACTGAACACTTTGCTCTTTGCTGGTTGAATAAATGGTGAATAAATACAAATTTGTAGACCAGGTTATACCAGGAATACATTATACCATTAGTTTGAGAGTTCTATTGCACAAAAATGATCCATATTGTAAGTAGGATTTCCAAATTGCGACTGAAGTCAAGATTTTTCCAAAATTCTGCATCAACTCAAATTTTATGACAATGGTCTCCAAACAAATATGAGAAGCCTTGGACAAAATACTTAACACAATATATTTTAAATGTACTCTGATGTTAACAATGCAATCAATATATTTAATTTAGCCTGTTTTGTTTCAAAATGTCACTGTTTCGCCCATAAAGTATACAGTCAATTCACGTTACAATATATTCTGTGAAGCGCTTTGAGACGTCTCGAAGCTGTGATAAGGCGCTATATCAAATATATCAAATACAAGGATTATTATTATTATTTATCCTTAGATTGCAACGTATTTAGAAACGTGAGAGTATACATGACTGCATAAGACCTTTCTTATGTAGTACATCTCAGCTGTAGAATTTTGAATGAGTTCCTCCTTTAACAAGGTTTAAACAAACTTAGTTTAACTTTATTTTCCCTTTTTCTATTAATTACTTTTACGTTAGTTGTTAATGCAGCAATAATGCCAGGAATAGCACAAACGGATCAATCCCGCCATCTCCCAACATCCTAGCTGTTCAGGTGAACATTATGCAATGTCCTGGCTAGCAATCCCCCAAATAAATTGATTGGTCACTTTGTGGCTGTTTGCAGAACTCTCATGTGAACCACTCTGCGATGTTTCAACGTTATAATGATATTAATCTTTGCATTTGGTATTGCGCCTTTCACATCTGGAGGACGGCTCAAAATACTTTATATGAATTTAAGGTACAGTGGCTGTGTATTTGTAGGCACATACGGCAGCCCAATTTGCAACAAACAATATCCCACAAACAGCTATGAAATTACTGACCAATTTATATAGGGGGTTAAAAACAGAAGTCGTTGGGAACATGCAGCAGGTCAGGCAGCATCTATGGAGAGAGGAAAATAGGTTAACGTTTCAGGTCGTTGACCTTTCGTCAGAACTGCATAGGGTTCTGACAAAAGGTCAGAAACCTGAAATGTTAACTAATTTACCTCCCTCCATAAATGCTGCCTGACCTGCTGAGTGTTCACAGCGACTTCTATTTTTATTTCAGATTTCTAGCATCTGCAGTATTTTGCGTCTTGGTTATATTCAAGGTTGTTGGCCGGGACACTGGGAGAAACTCCCCTCTCTTTTTGAGTAGTGCCATGGGATCTTTAACATACACCTGAACTGGCAGACAGGACTTTGGTTTAATGTCTCATCTGAAGGATAGTATCTCCAGCAATGTATTGGGGTGTCACTCACTCAATTTGGTCACGACTGTTTGTGGGACACTGCTATGCGTAATTGGTTGCTGTGATTCGCTCACAAATATACAGTCAATTCACTTTACAGTATATTCTGTGAAGCTCTTTGAGATGTCTAGAAGACA